CTATTTCCAATATCTCTCACTTGTTGAGTTTCCCCTTTTTGCTTCTTCACAAACTGTTCTCAATAGCTCACTCATGCCTTTTTGAGCCTTGGATATATATGATACAATGTATATTGCACATGCATATACATCTAGTACAAACTGAATATCCATATTTGCACGCCATGCACTGAGACATACAGCATTATAATTATTGATCCTTAGTTCGTTCGGTTTCCTTTTTAAGAATATAGTTGGTGTCTTGAGACTAGATTGAACAGCTAGCAAATAGTTTTGTTCTGTCAGTTTAAGATTTACAAGCAGCTGGTCAAATGTAATGTCCTCACCCTCTTTCATATCATTCAGATGTTTCTTTATAAATTTCCAAGTATCTTTATGTTGATCAACTTCATTATCATCCATATCAATATCTAATGGATATAGAATTTTGGTTGACCTCATAGGTGGCTGTGGGTTATTTAAACGACACACACTTTTGGATTTCTTTCGACAAGTGTGAGAATGGCGATGAACTTGCCTGTTTACAAGTGCAAGTAAATCTGGATTCTCGGTTGGCTTTTCACATGTGATTATCGTATCAATGAATGAAACAACATCACGATCAGAATATTCCCTGAATGTAGGAGCATTTTCTAGCCATATTAACATGTGAATATGAGGTGATCCTCTTTGTTGATATTCAACCCTATAGAACCAGTCTGCAATTTTTCCTAGAGGTGCAGCATTACTTAAAAGAAAGTTTTGCAAAAACTTGTGTACTTGATAATCAAAATGCCTGGCACATGTCACAGGATCGCTCTGAATTAACCTACTTTTCTCTTCCCAATTGAGGTTCTCAAGTTCAGTATCAGTGTATGTTTTGTTATCAACGAGTTTACCAAGTATTCTCAGCAAATGAATCCATTGGGTTTCCGCTGAAGAAAAACTACAAAATAATGAAGCAGATCCTAATTGCCTGATCATTGCAAATATATCCTTTGTAGCTTTTTGAAAATATGGAGTTGAACCCCTCACAGCTCTAAGAAATTTAAATCCTTTATCCTGATGAATCATGTTATCTAATGCACCCAGTTGTTTTAATTGACCGGCAGTGATTGTGTTACTATTTCGTTGACATTTTCTCAATGCAACTTGTGATTGCCCAAGCAAAATCTTCATTTGCAATTTCTTTGTTTTACATTGCAGCCCTTCGGTCAGACCTTCTTAACTCAGATTTACAAATTTCACTATAATGGACTTTGGTTGGTCTATTTGTATTGTCTGGTCGCTTCTGTAAAAGAAATATACCCGGATATGCTAATTCCCCTGAGTATTTATCTCTAAATATACTCATAGGCCTATTTCCCTCACCAGGTGCAACATTTAAAATATGCTGACGTTCATTATCAGTGACAAATTCTGGAGATGTTAACATAGTGTCAGTGATTCCAGCAGGTATTTCTGCCTCGTCTTCACTCCAGTGTTCATCATCATCACATGCAGATGATTGCTGGGTTTTACATTCAGTATCACAATTCAAGCTTTCTGCATTACAGTCTACAAAACTTTCTGAACCCTCTGAAGTTGATCATTGTCAGTATCATCAAATACCATTTGAGTATTTGAATTATCTTCAAGCCAAGTGTCATTGAAAGTTATACCTTCATCTTTAAAGAGATTACCATTATTTACAAGCCATTTGGCAGCTTCTGCTACTTTATTTGGTCTGACATTTGGTGATAAAGCTGAACTTTTGTATTGCAATCTTCTCTTAAGGTTAACTTTAATTGTGCTGGTCTCATTTGGAAACCTTGGCAACATGTTAACAGTATTAACAACATGTGCTGGAACATTAACAATGTTTCCATTGATTTTTAGTTGTCTACCTCTAGGATCCTGCATTAATTTTTGAAATTCAAGTCTTGGAGCAAGCAATCTGCACTCTAATTCATTTAGATAAAAAAAAACGAAGGTTTTTGCGGAAACTGCAGCCCATTTACGGCAGCACAAGGAGGCACCTTATTGTTTTTCAATACTTATTACAGGTTTTACACAACCACTCCATATTATTAACACTTTTTCTAATTAATAATCTTTTTTGAACATCAGGATTATTTTCTTTAAGTGTTGTGACTGGAATGACACTATGCTTGTACCATAATTGGTCACAACAAGTGCAAATATAAAGAGGACCTTGTGAGACAATATCATGAAATTTGGATATTAAACTTTGTAGCGGTTCAATCTCACAATATTTTTGTTTCCTATATTGCTTTGCATACAGTCTTTTCTTTTGCTTAGCCTCAATGCCCAGTGTTGAGGGCTGGGAACTCTCACTGTACTGTTTTTGTTTCCTATATTGCTTTGCATATATTATTTTCTTTTGTTTAGCCTCAATGCTCCGTGTTGAGGGTTGGGAACTCTCGCTGGCCCGTTTACGCTTCATATATTCCTTTGCGTACAGTCTTTTCATTTGTTTAGACTCAATGCTCAGTGTTGAGGGCTGGGAACTCTCACTGGCCTGTTTACGTTTCCTATATTCCTTGGCATAAACTCTTCTCTTTTCCCTAGCCTCAGGGCTCTGTGTCTCATTAGCTCGTTTTTGTTTCATGTATTTGCTTATATACTGTGTTCTTGTTTGCTTAGACTGAGAGCTCTGGGTTGATATCTCACTAAAACCTGACATTGAAGTACATGGCAATGTTGATACATAGTGATGCTCATCTATATGACCGAAATAGACATGAGTTAGTTGCTGTGTTGATGATACAGGTTGTATTATACTGTACTCACAAAACCTTTCATGTGTCTCTGCAATAGTAATTTTTAACTCAAGCTGATCAGCCACAGCTTGTATTATCATAGCATCGCCCCATGTCCCTTGCATAGACATATTATTGAGGTATTCTAACCAAGAGATTTCAGTATTACTTTCAATGAATCTCTCAGGATTATCTCTCATATATGCAATACCAGCCGCTCTAACTTCAAAGTGTCGTTCAGGGTTAGCATATACTTGATGTGACACAGCTCGAAAGAAACCGTCACCATCACCACCAACATCAAATGGTCTTAACTGAAAGCGTCTTAACCTTTGTTGTAACACTACATTTGATGACAACCTAGTTGGACTGTTGTTTTGAACAGGACCAGGATTTAATTCAATATCTCCTGACAACATTAGTGCCCTTTGAGATATGTGATATTGTTCATTGGCAATATTGCCTGCTATGTTTTGACTGTAGAACATATTACACAATGATTGTTTTGCTGTATTCATGTTTATGTTGACACATGGCTTAAAATATCCAAATGAATTAATAAAGATATGTTGTATTTGCACAAATTGAAAACAACATTGCTTGAAATTACTAGCTATCTTGTTCAAAATGGATGACTTGGCGACATTTCTTACAAAATAATGCTTGAAAATGATCTATTTTCTCTCTTTCTCATAGCTAATATAATTCTTTTTAAAGGCAATCTGGACGGGGCACGGTCTCCAGATCTTTTAGCATTTGCTTGCTTCGTTAATTTCCGTACAGCTAGTCGATCTGCAACTAAATGCACTGTGATCTGAATTTATACTCGTATTAATATAGCTACTATGCGCACGGTATAAATGTACAGTGTTATATGTATTTGCTTGTTCTGATCTCCGAAGAGATTGGTTTGGTCTCTGAAGAGATTGTTTTGATCTCCGAAGAGATTGTTTATTTGCTCTCCGAAGAGATTGTTCATTTGCTCTCCGAAGAGATTGTTCATTTGCTCTCCGAAGAGATTGTTTTGCTCTCCGAAGAGATTGTTTTGCTCTCCGAAGAGATTGTTTTGATCCCCGAAGAGATTGACTACTTACCAGATCAAGATGAGGATAAACTTCCATGTTGATAGTAGAATATTGGCGAGAAAATAAGACAGCTTTGAAAATCCAAAATGGCGAGAATACCTGAATAACCATAGATGTGAATAACACGAGGCCAAACCATGCCCGTTCGCAGGTTAGATGGCAGACACGATGTAACATAATCGCTGATTGGCTTAAATTATATAAGCTGGTCTCTGAATGGCTATGTGTTAACATACGGTAATATTACGGTACGGTACGTTTGCGAAAGCAATATATCTGCTTCGCAGATACAAAAACAGTTTCATGATGGCCCCACTTTTGCATGTTGTTCTACTCATAAAAAGGTACTGTGCACAATTCGGTGCTTTTAACCCTCTTCGGAAATATCCATGCACATATCCGCCACACTATTCTGGTTATATTAGGTTGACTTGGTAATTACCTAGTTGACTACAATCGCGTGCAAAAATAATGAGACTTTTCACATTTTTGGTCATTTTAAAGTACGTCGGCCTCCCCCTGCCCCCATGATCAATGTTGGAAAAAGTGGGTTGAATTTTCTCTTTTCAGTCATCCACACAACATTGAATTGGGGCTGAGGGGGGCATTTATGCGGTTGTCTCAATAATTTTTGCTCCTGGTTGTCTCTATTTGTACTTTTGAATAAAACGCAATTCGTTCATGTTGATTCAACTTAGTGCTCCAGGGAAGACGCTGACTTGGATTTCTTGCTTAATGAACCTTTTGCTATATAATATTTTCTCTCAGCGGTTTTCTATAACTGAGTACTTCATGTAAAAATAATATAGGGGATCTTGAAAACTATAGTTATTAATTTTTGTTAGGAAAGGACGATTAATTGATGAATATATACATTGGAAGAAGATTATAAAATAATGAATAAAATTCAGACTATTTTTTCCCATTGCTGACAATCATAAGTATATATTTTTTTCTCAAACAGAATATTTTCTTTACGTTCAAGTATTTTATAACAGACAACGCATCGTTCTGACCTACTTGTATACAATTTTAGAAAAATTTCAATGATTTTCCTACTTTTAGCTGAATTATTACGTATAAGATTGACATACTCACTAGATTTTAAACCCAATTCAAGCATTTTTATTTATGTTGATATATGGACTTACTGATCGTAAACTTGCACTAGAATTTATTGCAAACTTCCATCTCCTATGATTTTGGGATTATGTGAAATGAGCTCAAGCAAATCTGGTCGCACATGCGCAAAATATCAATTTATTTTTACGTACTGATTATAGACACGTTACACCACACGTTACACCACACGTTACATAATAATCTGTAGTAAAACATATAGAGATACGACACGTTACACCAATTGTTATTAAAAATAAATATATATATTTATTTTTAAAAACAATTGGTGTAACGTGTGCAACGTGTCATATTTCTATATATTTTACTATTGATTATTATGTAAAGTAGATGTAACGTGTAGTGTAACGTGTGTGTAACGTGTGTGTAACGTGTCAGCGTTTGCTTAGTGAAGCTAAGTGCATAAAATGTACATGAAATAATCACTTTAGATTAGTTGGTGAACATCCCACAAGCACAACAGCACATACTGCAGTATAAATGACAAAGTTTTCTCATTTTTCGTCATATGGCTGGGCTGAGGAACTCTCATATAATGATTGCCTCCTGAGGAAATGATGGCTAATTGAGCTTGAAAGGAGGTAAGAGTAGTTAAAAGACTACATTAGATTTTTATGGCTTATTGGATGTGTTGTTACTATATCGCAAAATATTTTAATAGGTCATGTTTAGCCTGCAACTTGTCTATTTTCCCAAAGATTTTTTCTAGTAAGTAAATTATAGTAAAAAATTAAATTCGTTACAAAAGCTTCTTTATTTTTGCCCGGTCCCCCGCAGCCTCCTTGCAGAATTTCTATATTTTGGGCGACAAAAAAATTTCGGTTAATTGATTGAAATATGTCAATCTCATGTCATCTTGATCGTTAGATTTTGGCAAAATTTCAAATTTTGGACAGCTAACCCCCAGACAGCCCCATCTCGGACAATCGCGTGCAAAAATAATGAGACTTTTCACATTTTTGGTCATTTTAAAGTACGTCGGCCTCCTCCCTGCCCCCATGATCAATGTTGGAAAAAGTGGGTTGAATTTTCTCTTTTCAGTCATCCACACAACATTGAATTGGGGGTGAGGGGGCATTTTTGCGATTGTCTCAATAATTTTTGCTCCTGATTGTAGGTATTATGGTAATTACTTGTTTGCAGGTAATTACTATATAATCAAGGGGGTCGCAGGGGACCGTTCGACCCTTTTTGAGGGTGCGTAAGGGTGGTGATGGTGGCTAATTAGTATTCATACAAATGAGGGTGAGGTAATTAATGTTCATACAAATGAGGGTACGTAGTGACGTCACTCATTAGTATACAATACGTCATAAGTATATGCAATGACGTCATGCTGGCATGTTCGGACCAAATCGGACAAAACTTGTTGAGTAGGCAATTTTTAGCGTCCCTCCGCGTGTGTGATACAATAGATGAATTGTTATCGAAGTTAATATATAGCAGAGTTATAGCCGTATCTTTGCTCGGAAGAGATAAATTTCCACAGGTATATTGAAGGATTTTTCGTATGTTTACAAAATTATGGCGAGGAATCTATTCGTCACAAAAATCAAGACATATTTTAAACAGAACTAAACAGTTGCTAATCCCGTGTTAACATGGTTGTCAACGTCGTTGTTATGGTCAATATTTGTATGTTGTTCAACCTTATTTAGCAAATCATAAGAAAGCTTATCAAGAATACTTGAAGGAAAAGAAATTTTTAGAACATTTGTAATATATTTTGCCATAAAATATAAATATGTTTTTATCAAATATGCGGTCGTTATATACGTTGCTATGCGTTTCGAGTCATTAGCGACGCTTTGGTGCATGTATATATTAATGTACAACATATTTGTACACCAATCAGGCGGGCAGGTCGCGCGGCCGGAAAGAGCGGGCTTTGCAGGCAGAAGTTTGCACAAGTTTTCAGTTTTAAAATACATTTATTTCTTCAAATCGTTTTACAAAATTTAGTACGGTCTACTTCTGAGAGCGTAAGGTGTTTTTGTTATTTTTAAAGAGTTCTCATATTCTTGTCTATCTTCTGGGGATAACTTTGCAAGTTTCTCCGGATTCATTGGAATATATTTTGGTCTGTCGCTCAATATAAAACGTTAATAATCCTCTGTTTCTTCCGGAGGCTTCGTGCTAGGTCACGTTCGGGCCAATCTGCTGGGTCGACCCAACTGTGGAAAAAGTTGCGCTTGAGTTTTGTCGTTCCTCTTCTGTTGGTGGTGCCGTAAGGAAATTAGGTTTAGGAGTAGCAGGCACTGGTGGTACTATCTCAACAGATTCATTGGGCTATGGCATCTCTGCAGGCGCTTGTGGGATACTTTGAGCAGGAATTCCAGGAGAAGAATGAGCCATCTTATTTTTGAATGCCAGAAACCGGTTTAGTTGATCAGAATATCATTTGCTTTTTTACACGGCGCTAAGCTGTGGCGCTTCCATGATTTCTTTCATTCGCTGCTCGGCATCATACATGGCATATAGTAGCGGTGGTTGTCGATACGACTGTTTTTGTATAAACTTCACAATCTCGCCGGGAAGTATATTCGTCTTAAGCCGATCTTGGTCACTCGTTGTTGGCTTTAAATCCAACATCAAATACCCGTGAGGTCGGCTCGTAGCATCTTCATAACTCCTCATAAATTCTTGTACTTTTCCGGAATTTACTTGTCTGGCAAGCATAGAAATTTGCTGTTTACCTCTTGGTGACTTGAACAACACGATATAATGGGCATTAAGGCTGATATTTCTCATTTCTTTGCCCTGATGAAAATATTTTGGACAATTTAGATGATAGACAAATTTCGATGATGACGTGCTTTCGTAAAAAGATCAGCAATACGTTTATCCTTGCTAGATTTTGTCATGAGATCGTCCAATACGATCAAATTCCGCTGAGATACGACCAACTAATCTGCGTTGTCGATATCTTCGGGGATGCCTTGATTAAACTCGATTCCAGGCATCGTTCTCGTCAT